CGCCTTTTTAAACCCACTCAAGAAATACGCTCGATCCATAAAGAAATCGCTTCAAAGAGCACTGCCGATATATGCGATTATTTAATACCTCTGTTATCTCAAGCACTTGGCGAGAGAGCTCATGACGATGCTCAGGATCGAATTGACAACTTGATCTGTTTAATACACCTCAAGCGATTACCACTACAAATCCCTTTAGGTTTGACTACAGATGAAGGGATGATGATATCAGTCACACGACCCTCAATTTTGATTTACCGAGCTGGCTGTGTCGATTGGATAACATCACAGATTGATCACCCCCATATCCATACTGTGTTAAGCTCCCTAGTCGCCACACAGAGAAGAAACTCGGATGTCCTGCTTTTGTGGAAATTTAAGGCCACAGATGAAGAGATTGCAAGCACCTTATCACTCGTGGATGCAAATGAGAGGCCAGATGTATCCAAACTAATTGATTCCGAACGTAGGACTGGTCGTTATAGGGGAATCCTGCATGCCTTTGAGTCTCTCATTGAGGGCTTGGACGACGAAAACCAACGAAATATCGTGATAGAACTTCTATGCAATGAACTCTCAGGGATAAAACCATCCTTATCTCAAGATTCTTTCAGAATTTGGATTCTAGACGAGGTTCAAGATCCCTGGGTCCGGTTTGTTGCTTCCTTAGCAGTTGGAATGGGCCAACCACTAGAACACCCAAGTATAGCATATTCGAGATTATCTCAAGAATTAATGAGAGCGTTAAGCAAATATCTTCTAGATGACGGCTCATTCATCAATTCGTTGAGTGCCCAGCGAGTGCGAATGAGATGGTGGAATGCACTTCCTCAGAGTTGGACATCTAACGTTATCAACCAAGCGATGGGTGATATTGAAGCATTAGTTCGTCGTCATATTTTATATAGAGTTTTTCATTACGGAGGGGGGCTTAGGCCCGCCTTCGTTGGGGGTTTAAAAACCCGGGTCTGGGGGTGGGGCAGGGGGGAGATTTTCTCCTGCAAGTCATTCATTCACCTTTCGGCGTCAGAAATACCCGACGTTACATCTCAAATAGCGATATGTATGGGCTTGTTCCCGCTCTTCTCGCCGGTAGTGATGTAGAGGTCTATATTAAAGATAAAGCTCTCAAGCCAGAGTGCCTTTCTCGGCTCCAGGAATTCGTTGAAGATGTCAAGCACCACCCAATTCGACTTAACGCCCTATTATTCAAGCTAGTAGATGAAGAATTTGGTGCCATGGTATTTCATGGGACCCATTTGATGTTTGATGAGCATAATCTATCTTCAAGGATTCTTGTGCAAGTAGCAATAGTCGACGGTGAGAGTCATGTGAAATGCTGATATTTTGTGCGACCCATGTCAAGCTACTGCCCACTAGGTACTTCCTTTCGGATACGATATGCTCTTGATCACGTTCTTGTATCGATGTTTTCGTGAATCTCAATGGGAACTGGGCAAGAAACCGACTAACTGTAGAGAGATTTTGTCGAGTTTGGGAGAGGGCGTTATGAATCCTCCTTTCGAGCGGTAATTTCTGCATTTCTACCTCGTCACTTTGATTTTCCTTCGAACGGCGCCTTTTTAAACCCACTCAAGAAATACGCTCGATCCATAAAGAAATCGCTTCAAAGAGCACTGCCGATATATGCGA